TCATTTCCAGGATGCTCGCCGGTCGCGAACGCCAGGCGAAATGCCAGAAACGTGAAAAACAAGAAAATTCAGACGTAACCGAGTTTCTCCAACTGCGATGTTGAATCGTAGTGAGATACCAACTGAATCGCAGAGAATCAAATCATTTCCAGGATGCTCGCCGGTCGCGAACGCCAGGCGAAATGCCAGAAACGTCAAAAGCAAGAAAAATCAGAGGTAACCAAGTTTTCCTAGCGAAAATATTGAATCCTAGTGAGATACCAACAGAATCGCAGAGAATCAACTCATTTCAAGGAGGCTCGCCGGTCGCGATCGCCAGGCCAAGTGCCAGAAACGTAAGCGGCAATAGAAAACGACAAAACCGAGATTCACCAGCTGCGACGTTGAATCGTAGTGAGATACCATCTGAATCGCAGAGAATCAACTCATTTCCTGGAGGCTCGCCGGTCGCGAACGCCAGGCCAAGTGCCAGAAACATCAGTAGCGACATAAAACGACAAAACCGAGTTTCACAAGCTACAACATTGAATCGTAGTGAGATACCAACTGAATCGCGGAGAATCAACTCATTTCCTGGAGGCTCGCCGGTCGCGAACGCCACGCGAAGTGCCAGAAACGTCAAAAGCAAGAAAAATCAGAGGTAACCAAGTTTTCCTAGCGAAAATATTGAATCGTAGTGAGATACCAACTGAATAGCAGAGAATCAACTCATTTCCAGGAGGCTCGCCGGTCGCGAACGCCAGGCCAAATGCCTGAAACGTCAAAAGCAAGATAATATCGACAAAACCGAGTTTCTCCAGCTGCGATGTTGAATCGTAGTGAGATACCAACTGAATCGCGGAGAATCAACTCATTTCCAGGATGCTCGCCGGTCACGAACGCCAGGCGAAATGCCAGAAACGTCAGTAGCGACATAAAACGACAAAACCGAGTTTCTCCAGCTGCGATGTTGAATCTTAGTGAGATACCAACTGAATCGCAGAGAATCAAATCATTTCCAGGATGCTCGCCGGTCGCGAAAGCCAGGCGAAATGCCAGAAACTTCAAATGCAAGAAAAATCAGACGTAACCGAGTTTCTCCAACTGCGATGTTGCATCGTAGTGAGATACCAACAGAATCGCAGAGAATCAACTCATTTCCAGGAGGCTCGCCGGTCGCCAACGCCACGCCAAGTGCCAGAAACGTCAAAAGCAAGAAAAAATCGACAAAACCGAGATTCACCAGCTGCGACGTTGAATCGTAGTGAGATACGAACTGAATCGCAATGATCCAAGTTGTCTCTAGGAAACTCGCCGGTCGCGAACGCCAGGCGAAATGCCAGAAACGTGAAAAGCAAGAAAATACCGACGTAACCGAGTTTCTCCAACTGCGATGTTGAATCGTAGTGAGATACCATCTGAATCGCAGAGAATCAACTCATTTCCTGGAGGCTCGCCGGTCGCGAACGCCAGGGCAAGTGCCAAAAACCTTAAAAGCTAGAAAAAATCGACAAAACCGAGATTCTGCAGCTGCGATGTTGAATCCTAGTGAAATACCATCTGAATCGCAGAGAATCAACTCATTTCCAGGATGCTCGCCGGTCGCGAACGCCAGGCGAAATGCCAGAAACGTGAAAAGCAAGAAAATTCAGACGTAACCGAGTTTCTCCAACTGCGATGTTGCATCGTAGTGAGATACCAACTGAATCGCAGAGAATCAAATCATTTCCAGGATGCTCGCCGGTCGCGAACGCCAGGCGAAATGCCAGAAACGTCAAAAGCAAGAAAAATCAGAGGTAACCAAGTTTTCCTAGCGAAAATATTGAATCCTAGTGAGATACCAACTGAATCGCAGAGAATCAACTCATTTCCTGGAGGCTCGCCGGTCGCGAACGCCAGGGCAAGTGCCAAAAACCTTAAAAGCTAGAAAAAATCGACGAAACCGAGATTCACAAGCTACAAAATTAAATCGTAGTCAGGTACCAACTGAATCGCATTGATCCAAGTTGTCTCCAGGAGGATCGGCGGTCGCAAACGCCACGCTAAGAGCCAGAAACGTGAAAAGCAAGAAAATATCAACAAAACCAAGTTTCTCCAGCTGCGAAGTTGAATCATAGTGAGATACCAACTGAATCGCAGAGAATCAACTCATTTCCAAGAGGCTCGTCGGTCGCCAACGCCAGGCGAAATGCCAGAAACGTCAAAAGCAAGAAAAATCAGACGTAACCAAGTTTTCCTAGCGAAAATATTGAATCTTAGTGAGATACCAACTGAATCGCAATGATCTAAGTTGTCTCCAGGAGACTCGCCGGTCGCGAACGCAACGCCAAGTGCCAGAAACATCAGTAGCGACATAAAACGACAAAACCGAGTTTCACAAGCTACAACTTTGAATCGTAGTGAGATACCAACTGAATCGCAGAGAATCAACTCATTTCCAGGAGGCTCGCCGGTCGCGAACGCCATGCCAAGTGCCAGAAACGTAAGTGGCAATAGAAAACGACAAAACCGAGATTCACCAGCTGCGACGTTGAATCGTAGTGAGATATCAACTGAATCGCAATGATCTAAGTTGTCTCCAGGAGGCTCGCAGGTCGCGAACGCCGGGACAAATGCCAGAAACGTCAAAAGCAAGAAAAATCAGACGTAACCAAGTTTTCGTACCGAAAATATTGAATCGTAGTGAGATACCAACGGAATCGCAGAGAATCAAGTCATTTCCAGGATGCTCGTCGGTCGCGAACGCCAGGCAAAGTGCCAGAAACGTCAAAAGCCAGCATTTAACGTATCTGGCACTTACCCTGGCGTTCGCGACTTTCGAGCCTGCTGGAGACGACTTGGAAATTTGCGATTCAGTTGGAATCTCACTACGATTCAATGTTGTAGCTTGTGAAACTCGGTTTTGTCGTTTTATGTTGCTACTAACGTTTCTGGCACTTGGCCTGGCGTTCGCGACCGGCGAGCATCTTGGAAATGAGTTGATTCTCTACGATTCTGTTGGTATCTCACTACGATTCAACATTTTCGCTACGAAAACTTGGTAACGTCTGAATTTTAGACATTTCTGCTATTGCAGCGAAAGGAGGAAAACCGAGTTTCACTAGATCTAGAGTCGAATCGCAGTTACATGCCAGCATAATTGGCGAGTTTCCAACGACTTTAGTCGACAACGACACTCGCTGTCCGCGAACACATGAGCAAAAACCACTATAACTACTTTTGCAGCGAAAATAGGCAAACGGCGCTTCCCTAGCTCTAAGGCCGAATCGCAGTGACATGACACCAAAAATGGCGAGATTCGAACGATTTCAACGACACTCGCTGGTCACGAACACATGACCAAATGCGAAAATTCTCCTAATGAACCTAAAGGAGCCAAATCGAGTTTCTATAGCTCTATTGTCGAATCGCATTGAAAATTCATGTCATTCGCTAAGAATCATGCTATTTCAACTACACTCGCCATCCGCGAACACATGACCAAATGAGACAATTCATCTAATGAAGCTAAAGGAACCAAACCGAGTTTCTCTAGCACTAAAGTCGAATCACAGTGACATGCCTACAAAAGAGGCGAGATTCGAACGATTTCAACGACACTCGACGGCCGCGAACACATGACCAAAAGCAAAATTTCTGCTATTGTAGCGAATGCAGCCAAACCGAGGTTCCCTAGCTATGAGGTCGAATCGCAGTGACATGAAACCAGGATTGGCGAGATTCGAACGATTTCAACGACACTCGCCAGTCGCGAAAACATGACCAAATGCGGCAAATCTGCTAATGAAGCGAAATGAGCCAAATAGAGATTCTTTAGCTTTGATGGCGAATCGCATTGGCATGCCACCAGGATTGGCGAAATTCGAACGATTTACGCGAAAATCACTGCCTGGGAACATACGACTAAAGCTACATTTCTGCTATTGCAGCGAAAGGAGCCAAACCGATTTTTCCTAGCTCTGCTGCCGAATCGCAGTGATAAGGCACGTTATTCAACGAAACTCTCCAGTTGCGAACACCTGACCAAGGTGTTCGGTGTTTAATATATTTTCTTCTGAAACGAATGCATTGAAACCGAATTTTCTAACCTGATGTCGAATTCTTTCATTAATCTCCGAAATTCGATAATTTTCCGCGACGCTCGCCACCTCCGGACACATTCAAACGCATATAAACCTATACCCTTGACTTCAAAAATAGAGACTCTCAATAGTTGGTCTTAAAATTCATATTTCATGAACAAAAAAGCTTTAAAATATGTTGAATAATACAATGCAAGACTCAGCAAGATTTTAATGAAAGTTATATGCGAATGTGTATCCAGGGAATTGTTATCACCTTTCCACTTGTACCTTTGTACATGTGAGAGACAGGGAGCCTCTTGACACACACTGCCTCCACCTCATGCTTTTCCAATCTAAGTTTACCCATTCTTACTGCAGAGCATCAAGTAAGCCTAAAATATTACTCTTTTACAGAATTCACAATTCAACTTAATTTGTGACTTTCTTTGACTTTGTTACACTTAACGCATTCAGAAGTTTAATTGATCTGGAGTCAGAAATTACTCAATAACCATGAGGAATAATTAATAATTTTACATTGGCCCATGAAAAATGCGGACATTTGCTATAGCAGATGACCAATGAATATTAATTGCATCCTGGATTTGATTAGAACTGCAACCTCCACCTGCGAGTTAAAAATTATCATCTCATCTCACAGTGGGCTGAAGAGTTTTCATGGGTTTATTGAGATGCATTTGAGAAATGCTCCTCTTGAATTCTCCACAGGCATGTAGTTCTTTTCAAGTTTTTACCCCAGACAAGAAATGAAAAAGGTGATGGAGCTGGGAGTTGTGGAAGGAGGTTGGGGGTTGGGATCAGTCGGAAGTAGGGAACTGCCCCCCCTATGAAAAATTTCTGTATCTGTCTCTGGACTAAACATAATTGCTCAGACACTTACATCAATATTAGAGTAAGGAGTCACAAGCATTCTATAAGAATAAAGGAATCAAATGTCAAAGGTTCCACTTCCAAACCTTCCCTTTTTTAACTTCTGTTCCCATATCATCCTCAGCCAATGAAAATAACATGAAATTTACATAGCCACAAAGATATCACAATTCCACTTCTTCCAGATATCATACCATACTGAAAACAGGGAAGGGGAAGGAAGCACTTGTGCAATATTTCCAGATTACCAGGATGCGACTCCAATTGAGCTGAGAGGCTAACAGAACAAGGGTGCCATCAAATGGGGATTTTCTGTACTACATTGGGATCACTCTATGAGACAAAGAATGGAAGAGCCAGCTATGGAAGTGAGCTGTTGATCCAACCCCCATATCAAGTAGGGGGCCACATGCCCAAACTCACACTCAGCCATTTCCTCAAACCCCCAACCTCTGGGCTGCCAGAGGATTGACATTAATTTGATGCATCATCCTTCACGCAGTGACCCACAGGCTGATCGGGCATTTCAACAGTCAAATTATCACCTTTGCCAAAGATCAGCCTATATAGCAATGTAGCAACTTCTGGCCAACTATATTGGTACTTTTAGGATAAATTTGTCACTTGAAATGTATAGGAATATAAATAGCAATGCAATGGTGCACCAGGCAGGGAACAGAATGTACTTCCATACTGAAATGATGATTGACATAACATGTGAAAACAAGGAAGGAAAAGTAAAGAATTGTGAGTCCGCTTGAAATTTAAGATTAAATTATTAACCTTCTCTATTGTTTTCGATCGAAAATAAAAAATTTCATTAAGAATCCTCCAGAGCAGGCCTTGCAATGCAGAACTACTGGTGGATTTGGCAAAAGCTGCATAATTTGTCAAGGTAATGGAGATTGATGACTTAGAGTGCTCTTTCTGTGGGATTTTGCATTTAAAAACAAACCTGAAACCATAGAGTGCAACTACCTAGTCTTGCCATTAATACTGTTACAAGGTTTTTTTCTTATAACTCTGTTAATATAAAACATACGTTGTATTTGCTTACAGCATTTATTTCATAATTATTAACATGTTACAGAAACATCATTCAAAATGTCCACCTTCACATAACTTTTAATAATCGGGCCATTCATTGATCGCAGTACACACCACGTCCATTGAGATATAGGCTGTTGATTTTGTTTGTCTTCAAAATTTGAATGTCTTCTGTGGCAGGCCATCAGCTCCAACTCTGCCCACACTGTAGTCCAGTGGGTTCAAGTTGGGGCTCCCAGATGGCCAATCTGAGGCCTTGATGAACTCAGGGAAATTGTTGGTTAGCCACTCCTGCATTGTCTTAGCCTTGTGAGCAGGTGCAGAGTTTTGCTGGAAGATCCAGTTGCCCCCACTGAACATCGCATGGCTGAGTATCACTATCACTATCTTCTCTAAGATGTCTTCTTGGTACACTTGGGCTGATGTCTTCACTCCTTGCTTGCAAAAATGCAGCTTGGCAACATCTTTATAGCTCACCCCCCACCAAACCATGACAGAAACAGGATGGTGACCTCTCTCCACCTTATGGATGATATTGGCAGCTTTCTGGGAGCTGTTATCTGGCAATGCGTGGACATCCAGATCTAGGGTGGTCTCATATTCTCTGAGTGTCATTGTAACATTTGATAGCTCGGTTAACAAACTGCCGAATCATTCCAAGGGTATGAGGGAGTCAAAATATTACAGAGACATCTGGTGGCCTGTTACTAACAACACTTCCATGGCAGCGGAATCGGGAATTGACTCATTTGGGGATTCGACTCAAAGGGAATCCTCAATGTAACACATGTGTCTTGTTGAGTTCACTGCTCGGGCATGGAGGAGTTGTTGATGTGTGTACACTAGGTGGAGGATCAACAGCAACATCTACATTGCGACCCTGGCAATGAATGGGATTCGAGCAGAGTATCGCCTCTAGTTACACTCTCTACTCTATGCTGAAACCATCTTCAATAAAATTTGCAGAGAAATTAGGAGTTCACAAGGAGATCTCATTGGAAAATGGAAGAATTAGAATTTTCAGGGCATTATTTCAATTTATTTCTCAGGGGACATTAATTCTGATGTGATGAGCTAATTTTTCATCCTTTCACATGACTAAACTATGCAGGTTTACACACACAAGATAACAATTAATGGGATCATCTACATAATTGTCTTCTACAGTATTAATTTGCATAAAACAAATAATCCTCTAAGCTGTACCCTTCTCTAGTGACTTCAAAATCTAGCATTAAAAAACAGAGGATTTGAGAATGCCTCATGATATCGTACCATTACAATGACGGGTACAAATACGAGAAAGAATAAACCACATCATATGAACCTCATGGATGCTTCATTCACATACACATCACTACCACTGCTTTATATTTCTGCCAAGCAATCCTTGAATATAAGCCACACCCTCTTTACTGGCCAGAAAACTACCATTTAAAAATATATATTGATTATTAACAATCAGTCTCCAATTGAGCTAGAGAGAATTTGGCGTCTTGTAGATGGGTGGGGTCAGCATCAAATATGGAACTACTGTTTAAGGAAAAAAAGGATGGGCAGGGTAGAAACTAGTGAACTCTTCTGTCATATTGGTTTCTTTTGTAATTATAACATAGTAGCTTGTGAATTCTACTGTCACATTGGCTTATTCCGCAATTATTACATTCATCAATACACATGCTGCCAAAATGGAGCAACTTTCACCAATTATCATCAATTCTCACCAGCAATGATCACTATTTCTATCCACTAACTTGCAATTTCTGGCTTAACACTCCAGAAGCTATAGGTGAGGACAACAATTCACATTGGAACTATTTCTGGTTTCCAGTGAATCTTTTATGGAATCATTTTCATCAAACTGAGCAAACATGGGCTTAAACTGTTTCATTTCTGGAACTACCTGGATCTCAGGGTTCTGACATGGAGGATAATGCAATCATCCAGGAAATTCTCACAGCTCCTTTAATGAGTTATAATTGATCAAGGATAGTAACAAATGGTTTCATGTAGAACAAAACTCATATCACACCCCTTCCTAAATAGTAATGACAAATTAAGTTGGTCTTCTTCATCAAAACATTAGAAAGTTTTTAAATGGAACTTAACCAAAGGTAGTTCAAGTAATTGAAAACTTCTTTGAAGGCTAAAGATTGTCATGCATAATTTTTTTTACAATGTAAGCAACAATAATTTATTCTTTGATTTCTCTTATGGCTTAGCTTTTCAGCCACTGGTATGCTGTCATGCTTGCATCCACACCTCCTGAATTGGAAGCACCCTGGACATGTGGCAACCTTCCACTAGCAAGTAGGCTTCAATAGTACCCCATCTGGCACACTTCACTTTCCCCAACTGTCAGTGAGGGCACCCTTGCAGTAAAGATCACCACCACCTGAAACAAAGGGATGATCCCAGGTCAGTTTTGGCATGGATTTATTCCTAATAGAACTTCATCAAATTTCATCTCTTTCTTTTTTTTCCCCATTTGATTCCTGAGATGACAATGTACCTTGGGTTCCAAAAAACATTGGACCCCAGGGGTATTAATGAAACTGTCAATACCACCAGATGGAATAAAATTTTATTGAAGGTGAAACTCTACTTGAGTGCTGCTTCACGTAAAAAAATGTTAATTAAGTTTGAGCGATAAATCTCCAACAAATACAACAATTGGAATAGGATTGCAGGGTAGCAGAATTTTACTTGCAAGTCAGAGCATCCTGGACATCTAAAACCAAGAGTGGTGGGCCCAATAGCTGTGAATATGGATTGGAAAACATCACTGAGCAGTTGTTCTTCAGAGCCTATGCCTCTAGGGCTTTGGATTACTTTGGATAAAATCTTGGACCCCAAGGGCATCAATGAAATTATCAATACCACTGGATAAAATCAAATTTGATTCCAGTTTCACATGCAATCAAATTTGATTTCATCCAGTAGTATCCAAAATGTCATTGATAGCCATAGGAGTCCAAGATTTTTTTGGCCCACCCTGTATATTCCTGATGTAACTGTATACTACGATAGATAATTAAAAAAACTCCAGATACACCTACAAAATTTACTTACCAATCAAGCTCTGATTGAGCCAGAGAATGGATATAAACCATGAAAATTCATCATTCAAGAAAGCAAAGTACAATGCAGGCAACATTAGACCAAATGCTCCTCCTGTTCTGGTTCCTAGCTGTTGGTTACAACTTCTAGAACTAGGGGTGATTGTATGCTTGAAGCAAAAGTATTAGAAGTGTCGTGTTCACTTTTTCTCAGCAGCAGTCATACATCAAAAGGATTGGACAACTCCAAAGAGCATGGTACAACATTATGGAATGGGCTTCATGATTTGCAACATATTGTTACAGCATGGAATGATATCAGAAAAACTCTTCCTTTCCCTATAACTAGATGATACCTATGGATAGCTTCTGTTTTATTTTAGCTTTCTGTATACATAGGGTGTCCCATAAGAAGTATCAGGATTTTATTTTTGTATTACCAGAAAACAAAACAAAGTTCAATGGAGTTAATATGCTGGCAACACTGGAGTGTCCAGGAGATACATTACACAGGATCTCAGGGAATATGCATGAGTTTTACACATGAAAAATAATATGTAACTGTGTTCTATCTCATAAGCAACACTTGTATTCATGGATCACAGCTACCTCCATCCCTGTAGCAAGGATTTTCCTGGAGACAGTCTCAAAACCATTCATAACATTATCTACCAGAGGAGCAATCATCTCTGGTTTTTTGGCTTATACTTGCACTTTCAAGAAACCCAAGAGGAAGGAACCTGATGCCATCAAGACTGGGGATTTGAAAGGCCAGGTGATTTCAACTAAACTGGAAATAATATGCTGGGGCTTATGAAAGTGTCACTGATTTCCAGACTTGATAACATATTCAATCCAATGGAAACATTATGTCTCTCAAAGAATACCTACAGTACTGCAATGCATGCATGTGCTACTCGCAAGATGGAGGGGATTATTTTCCATGTTATAAGCACATGAATATAAGTATAACGCATGAATATGAGTATAATGTAACTCCTCAAACTCCAGTGTGTGGCAAGTATATTGACTTTATTCTACTGGGCTTTCTTGTCTGGTAATGCAGATTTAAAATCCTGACACTTCTTATGGGATACCCTGTACATCTTGACAGCCTAGTACTATATTTCCACAACGTGGGCATTCACCATGCAGAAGAGCAGGAGGGCAATTCCATTTCCCCAAAGGAAAATAATACATGGAAATTGCCTCTCAACTGGAAGACTGTGAATTTGCAATTTGTGAATGGTGATGACAGCATTTTACCATACTTCTTTCTCGTTTTTAAGTAGGAGCTAAGTGGGGAGCTGGCCCCTCTCCCTGGCAGTGGGTGCATACCAGGGGTCTCACCAGTCCCAGTGTAATCCTCCAGCAAGCAGGCTGGCAGAGTGTAAGACTTGTGTGAATTTAATGTTAGACAATGGGAAGATGGGAAGGTGTCCCATTGTCCCAGTTGGGGAACAAGGTTCTTCCAGTGCTTGTTTTTATTGGTTACTCCTTGGTTATTAGAAGCAATGGCAGCAGTGACAGAAGAGGTGAGACCTCATCATTTTGTTCTAATAGGCGAAATTAAGACGAATTAAGAATTTGAAATGAAAGAGGCAGAGGACCCAACTGCACCAAAATCACATGATGTGACTATGGGAAAACTAAACCTCATATGTACATTGCAAACCATGGAAATCAGGAAATGCTGAATAAAACTGAAGTATAGAGAGTTTTTATACAAAATGACTGACTGCATTAAATCAGCAAAAGTGCAATAAAGATCACATGCAGACATAATGAGTGCCAAGTTTAGCTGCCACATTAAATACATATGTCCATTGAAGACTGCCTTCCTGAATAGAAAAGAGGAACTTTTATTCCTATGACTTGATTCCCTATTAATTAGTTTTGATTACTGCTGCCCATTAATAGCTCTTTGGCCCCCATAGAGCATGAATAGAATCATACAAACAAGCTTGAACAGTGTCATAAAAAGGATAGTCCTTAGTATTGAAATATATGAAACAAAGAAAAGTAAATGACAGGAGCTTAATCAAAAGTAGTTCATAAAATTCTCACTATCAATTTTTGTGCCTAACATATGACTAACTTTTGTGCGCCAAACTGCAGAATACTGTACTGTACTGTCACAAAGCTGAATCCTCAGGAGGCAAAATACAAGCCTACTTGTGTACTACAGCCTTCAGGGAGGTGCTTCATCTCATGAATACACTCTCCTCCTCCTGTATGAATTCATCTGCAAAGCAAAAATGATGGCATGAATCATCAGAATGGAATTACATTACTCATGTAGGATACCATCAGCTGTTTTTTAGTTTACAATTTTTAGGAAAAAAAAAGACAATCATTCAAAGTTGAGAAGTAGTCCAACTAGGAGGATGTGGCCTACAAATGTGAACTTTTACCTATCAAATCCCACCACCACCAGCTATCACCTCACAGTCATTTGGCAGTTTGATGATGACTGAAGACTGCAGATTGAACCTAGCATGCACAGAATGTGTTGGTTTTGATTTACTCCACAGTTATTGAAAGAGCACTTAGAAAGCAATTGCAATCAAGTTTGCAATGTCACCAATCATGCAGGAATTATTATCATGGAGGGCAATTCTCATCTCATTCAACAAACACAAATATAGATTCTAATGAGTATGGGAGCTTTCTCTGCTGGTGTCTTTGCCCTGAATGTTGCTATGGCTATAGCAGATTTCAGTGATTAACTCACCAAAGGATTGCAGTCAATAAATGTTTTGGGGCACCTCCTAGTTGGTTGGTTGGGCCCATCCACATCTTCTGGTAGTAGTAGGCTCATGACTCCTTGTCCAATTGCTTTGACTATACCTTTGGGGAAAGAAGAAAAATTACATTAGGTTAATGCTTTCATTTGTGGGATTTCCAACAGTTCAATATTATAGAATATAGCAACAGAACTGCAAGCAGCACATCTTCACCTTCAAACTTCAATTTACTCTTTTAAGAAAATACATCTCTCCCACTTAGTGCATCATCCTTCATTCAAGTGCAACTTTCCCAATAATACCATTCTTTGCAGAAGATGGACGCTGAGCAAAAAAATCTTTGCATACTGAAGCTCTTAGGATTGCAAGGCAGTAGCATTTAGCTTGCAAGTCTGAGCATCAGCATCCTGGGTATCCAAGACCAGGTGTGGTGGGCCCAAAAGCTGCGCATATGGATTGGAAAAATATTACGGAGCAGTCATCCTTCAAACCCTTTGCCTCTGGGGTTTTGGATTACTTCCAAGGCATCAATCCATAAGTGCAGCATGGATGGAAAAAGTAGGGGGAGAATGGGATAATGTGGGAGGGAGCATGGGAACTACAGGGTGTTTCAGTTAATTAGTCATCATTTCAAAATAATACTTTATTGTATACAAGCTACAGCGACAATTCCCATACCTCTAAATAGAGCAGACTTCAAAGTTTATTTTCATTAGCAGGTTAGGCGCAAGGTACGCTCAACAAGACAACCACGTGCATTGATGACAGTGCGGAGGTGAATAGGCATGTTATTCTTCGGGCTACTCAGCAGCTCACTGTCACTCACTGTCATTAGTTCTCTTGAACACCTTCTCCCTTAGGTATCCTCCAACACAAAGACAAAGTCACATGGGTTGATGTAGGAAGATAGTTGGAGGCCTCGACAAACTACTGTTGAAGACATGTGGATAGCAGTTTGCAATGGTGTGCTCACGAAATTTAATGTGTTAATGGGTTCTTCACCGTGTTGGTGAGTGGATGATGTCGAGTTAGGGTTAAAAACTCCAAGGAAAAAACATTGCAGTCTGTTCAATGAAATGGTAGGAGAGCTGTCATGATAGCTTTCATAATTCAAGAGTCATATTATTTTTAAATGGTGTCTAATCGAATGAAACACCCTGTATGAGATATATTAATTTCATGGGTCTAGTCCTTCATTTTTTAGGCTTCATTTCTTGGAAAGGAAATCCCCCCCCCCCAAACAAAATTATTGCTTGAATTAGCTGGATGAGCTCCTACAGGTCCACAGGTGGAAACATCCACCTCCTCCACATTCATGAAGTCTATGTGGAACATTGAGATTTGAACATCCAACCTGAAAAGTAAGCTAATGACACTGGGATTAAAAACATGTATTTACTCTCTCTTGTTATTCCTCAAATCAGCAAAAGGAGCCAATTTTTGGTCTTCCAGAGTGACTTGAGGATGTGAAAAGTCCCCATGTGGTGGGGATTCCACTTTTGATTGTTCTTGTGTCACTTGCCTTCATCAAAATATGCAAAGATACAGCAATATCATTTAACTAGAAGTGGAAGGCTGTATGAGGTTATTACTGAATAGGATCATTCATATTCACTGATTGGCCAATGTCTTTTAGGAAGTCACCTTTCCTTTAACAACTACAACAAAACTCTCTCATGATGAAATGAGATGCATCAAATTAATTGTTAATACTAAATGACTTCGTGTCCCTAGCTGTAAGTGCATAACAAAAATTTTGGGAAATCCAACTGATAATGCATATTGCATTTTAAAAACATGCTTTTATTAAATAATTTTTTGTAAATTTTCCTCTTTTCCCTCTTAATAATAATAAAAGATTTCTTGATTCAGGAATTCTTCCATGTTCAGAACAAAAGGGGAAATGTTGAACTCACAGTTTTGAGAACACTGGAAACCACATGGAAGAAGGTAGAGGAAAGCATAAGTTAAGCTACTAAGCAGCACAAGTAAAATAAAACATTCACAGCAAAGGAACAAAGGTACACAAGTCCCTTCCCTTTGGCTGAAGATTTTTCATCCCACTCACTCTTCTAATGTGGACTCATGCATTTACCCTCTCTTGCTCATATTCCCTCCTCAGGCCTACTTGGCATGTTTGTATGAGTCTCCCCCATCTCTCATTCTTAGCCAGCAGAACCAAAGCCTCCATTGTTGCTGCTGACATGCTCCTTCCTGCATCTCTTTTTTATTTCAAGACTTCTAAGCCTTCATGTAAATGATAGTACCCCCAAGGCTTGAAGAGAAAAAATAAAGAAAGCACCAAGGTAGTCAAAATAGACACTATTCTATTTCTACCTTAGGCATCCCCAGTGTCCAGCTGAAGTGGGGACCACAAGCAGTGACAAGACTATTACAATATGCTAGCATTAGGGACTGGTAGCATGAATTTGAATTACCAGCCAGAATTAGGTGATGCTCAGATAACAGCTTTGATAGAAACGAATACTTCAACTTCAAGATGTCTGAAATGAATACCTATGCCATCTATGGGGTAAATATTCAGCTTTCACATAAAACAACGTTGCACATCAATGCCAGCAAGACAAAAAAAATTCCTGTAATTCAGCTACCTTTCAAGCTTTTCAACAGCAGTGCTTGTGTTGAAACACTAAGCCACTAGCCAATATGCAGGAGTGACAAACAGACCCCATAAAACTATTTCTAGAAAAGCTCCATTAAAAGAGCAGATACTTCAAAAGCTCCAAATGTAGCCTCTATAGTTGCAGCATTTGCCATCTCATAGAATTTGGCTAGGAATGCTCTATAGTTGATTCAATTGCATACCTTCCAACTGTGAGACAATTTCATGATTAGGAAAATAATTTTTATTTGAATTTCAGAAATTGGAATGAGCAATGCCATCATATTTTCATATACTGCATTTCATTAATTATTTCACAAATTAGTTATGAATTCATTTTTAAATCTTGGTTGATGAAGCACTCAAGCTTGGCCACCAGACCCACTTAGACTATTACTAATGAGCAAGTTCTTTTTTCAGGTTAGGGTTGCCCCCTGTTCATAATTTGTATGGACAGTATATATTTTAAAAGCAATATCCATATTGCAAACTTATCTTAACATGAACACTACCTTGTCCATATTTTTATACTTCTTCATGATTTTCTTCAGTTAATAAATCTTAATAGCAGCTAAAACTACACTTTTTGGCAAGTCTAAAGCAATAAATCACATTCTTATAGTATCAGTCGGTGCCAGGGCTATAGTTGACTATATGTATTTGCAGCAGAGCCACATATGCCAGTATACTTTGAATATTTCCCATATTTCCATATGTCCATATTTTGCTAAGTCCAAAGTTGGTAACCCCAGTTCAGGTAATATCTGGACATGGAGAGTACTAATGCCTTCACACTGACTATGGGATTGAACTTGACCAAGTGGTTGGAAAATATACCTGAATGGCTTCAGATTTCTTCAAAAGAGAGAATAATTCATATCAGACATCATGGCATTATAGGCAGTTAGCATAGGCCTATGATTTTCAACTACTGAACTACTGAGGGAAGTTTCACCCATCCCCATCTGCATGCCTACATACATAAGGCAATATATAATTTCATCAAAACAAAGAGATTAATTCCAAAAGACATATTGCGAGCTTAGAAGCCTTCACCCAAATGACAAAATGGCGCACAGATATGACGGAAGAAATAGTGATCCCATTGTGATTTCAGGCGATGCAGTTGCTCAGCAACATGTAAACGGATTGCAGAGTAGAAAGTAACGAAAACGTACTGCCTATCAGAATAGGCTTCAAAAGGACATCCAAGACTACGGAAAATCTGACAGACACACCCGCAAAACCTAACACACGCCTAGGCCTCAGATTAAGCTAAACTTTAGCGCCTAAACTCATTCCAAGAGCTCAGGATTAAGCCATGCAGAATGATTCCCTAACGCCTCAAATATGCAAAGCTGTCGTCCTTAAGGTTCGAGTTCCGTTCATGAAATTTTAGCGAAAGGAGGCAGGGAATGAGACTTTCACCGGGTCTCTTTCCCGGGTCGGCGAGCAACGAGCTCCTCGTCATCCATCTTTTGGAGGGACCGCGAAAACGACCATTGAGCAGTCGCTGCATTGGCGGAGGAGGAACACGTGCGAGTGGGTGTTTGCATTGAGAAATCTCCTGGAATTTCGGTACGTTTCCGATTTCGGACTTGCTTTAACTGTTCATGATTTTGTTCTACTTTTGCTCCTGCGTCTCATTTCATGCCCATGAGCGCCGGGATATCCAGTCTACAGAAACTAGTCAGCAGTGGCGTAGCCAGGGTTTTGCTAAAGGGGGCCAGTGAAGTAGAAATTCTCTAGAAACCTCATAGGATTTCTCTGTCAAGTTTGATGAATAAAATCTATGAAGTCAATAAACATGACCTCGACGTTACCCCTAAAAGCGACCATTCCCTCCCGTGACTGGGAACTCTTAAGGGCGCGGAGGTAGCGCCTCGACACCTGCAAGGCGAATCGACCCGCTTCACCCCCTCGAGCATCCGCCCTGCCCGCATCCCAGGCTGCGCGTCTCCGCCTTTATGCCGTTTCGAGGAAGGGAAGGGTTGGGCGTGGGTGGAGGTGCAATAAGCAAGGTGGATTGGGCGTGGGTGGAAGTGCTATGAGCAAGGCGTGTGGTTGTGCATTACGGCCGACAGGGGTCTCGAAGAGATCATTTTTTCGCCCTAAAATCAGATACGCTCCTAAAAGTCAATCCATGTGATGGAATTCTGATTTCATTACTTTCTCGCCTTTCTCACCTCGCGGAACTCCATCGGAAGCTGGGAAGTTTTCGGGATGGGAATGACCCTTATATCTTATATTTTCTTTGCCATATTCAAACAGGACACGACTCACTCTCGATTGTGTTCCGCTTGGCATAGTTCTTACATTCATCAGAAGACCGATGGACCGTCGCCTTCAACGCAAGTTCTGAATAAGTTCCGAGATCATCTCAAGCCTCATCGGTGGGTATTCCTCCCTCTCTGGTCCATATTTTCTGAGAAAGAAGGTTTGCCGTTCGGTCGGGATTAAACACGTAACGGATAGCACGGGATAGGGATATTTTCCCCAGAGGCTCTAGTGTCCAGTTATCGTTCTGGGGTTTTCTCCTCTATTGTCGGGAGACGGCGCTCTTCCGTTTCGAGACAGCGTTTAATTTATTATGAATTATTACACCTCACGGTGCTTTATTGGCATTGGGAACGGTGGAGGCATCGGGGCTGAATGGGATGAAAGCTGATCCGATCAAGGCAAAGTTCTTATTCCGATACCTTCTTGGCTTTTTCACGGTAATAATTGGATCTTGTGACGGACAAATTTATGAGTAGAAAGCATTCGCTATCGGAGTTGGAATCTTCTGATAGAATGCAGCGATATTTTCAGTCCCTGTTCAGAGGCTTTGGTCAAGAAGCGGCTGAAATGCCGTTGCCACGTTGGAGAAACTCCCCGGATTTTCTTTTGCCAGGGAATCCAGGACCGAAAGACACGCCAGAATTTTCGTCTGAGAGCGGGACGGCAGTGTAGTTCAGTAATGATGGCACTTCCGCTGAGGCACCAAGTTATGAAGTACATGACGTGTGCGTGTTCACGATGTCTTCACCCTCTTTCTTTTCATCTCTCTAAAAACTTCGCATAATTCTTGACTCTACTTACTGCCAGTCACTTAGGGTAAAACCACCAATGTTAAGCTGGCCGAGCCTCATCATTCGCTCGTCCCATCTCAACGGTACAAGCCGAAAGCTTCATTTTTTGCTCCTGGGAGCACCACACTAGGAGATCTGAGTGCTGTAAAGCTGTTGTCCTTCCTACCCTTATGACTACCGATATTGCCTATAATGTGGATGTCCGAACTTGAGATGCGGAAAAAATTAAGTTCCGACACTTTCACCTTAGTTCGGACACCCGCGTTTAAAAGTCTCAAAGTGGCTTGAAACACTTCATTTTGAAGTGAAAGAATGATATTCCAAAGTAATGGATCTTTCCTCTATTTTCTAGTATAGGATGATCGTGATTGAATGAGTGAGCGACTGACTTTAATTCTAAGCATGATTTAGATGAGATTAAAAGTTCGAACTTGGTAGGTCTTAACGAATGACTGATGATGCGGATTTCAGGTACTTGTATTTGGGAGAGACGTATCTCCATTAATTTCTTTGCTCCAATGAAACGGAGAGACAGAAGCTGAAACTTGGTGCATCGGTACCTATTGAGGTGCAGATTTCAGGGGGGGAGGGGGAAAGCTACTTTTAGGATTCTTTCCTAGGGGTATATATATATATATTTTTTTTTTTTTTTTTTTGGGGGTGGGGGGACCTTTCCCAAAGAAATTTCGTTCCAGGTAATCATAGAGGCGAAAGGCTGAAACCTTACTAATTAGGTACATGCTGGTATGCAGTCATAAGGGGAAATCTTGCTTCAGGGAGATATCTTCTGGGGGTACATTTGGGGGGAGTCATATTTTTTTTAAATGGTTTGCTACATTGAATCGGGCGGTGAAGGATATAGAAACCTGGAATTTCGTGCGTAGGTTGCTCTCCAGTCACTATTTTCTGGAAAAATCCTACTCTTGCGGATAATCCCTTGGGTGCACATTATATATTAGGGTCATGTTGTCGGAAATTATTTTTAAGCAGAACGGCCTGGCACAGTTTGTTATATTCAGTAGACAAGTATTTCTCTGCATGCTTAATTCAGAAAACATCCAACTTGAGGGACACATCCACGCTCCGAATTAGAAGGTACAACTCCTAGAAGAAAATGTATCCAGCTGACGTGTTCATCATGAGCAATGTTGGCCTTCCGCAAGGACATCTCACCCGAATTTAAGCCCTGATGGCCTTTTCAGCACCCTCGGATCGATAATCTCTTGCATTCCAACCTCCTGCCACTTCTTTGGAGGCACGCCGCACACTTGGGTGTGCGAATAAATACATGAAGCTGTATTTTTTTTATATGTGTTCGACGGTGTCCAAAGTTATATGTCCCGTTACGAAAGCTCGGACAGAGCTCCAAAATACATTTTCTCTGAAAAGCATGACTAAGCGGAGCTTTTGTCAACTCTAAACGTTCTTTATCTCAAGAGGACGTCATATTTCCGCAGATATGACACACATGAATGTATATTCGAACTTAAGTTTCTCAAGCATTTCTTGACCTAAGTTCGGACGCACCGAAAGTAAGGCAATAATCTGATCAATGCACGCGCATTCTGCCTAAAAGGAGTCCATGTCCTAGTTTCATGGGAAGTAAGAAGTGAGCATAGAAAACAAAAAAGTCACGTGTGAAACGTTTTAAAAGTAAGGTTCTCTCCTTACGGTTTCTTGAAGAATTCCTCCTGTTCGCTATACGAGGCTTGTATGAAAAGTCATGCGTGTTCCGCAATAAAAATTTGCATATTGCGCGCACGCGAAAAATTCCTACAAATTCTGAAAGCCCCATCAAAGAGGAACGCAACGATGTATAACATAGGCTGGTTGCTAATATGCAAATGTAACAGTCGTGGGAGAAACAGAGGCAGGTAGCGGCAGTTTCCCGATGAGTACTTTTAAAAGGAAAAGAATGCTTCATAAGTTGAGAAATGGAGCAGAGAAATGCCATTTTGTTTTCGTTTCGACGGGGAAATTCGGCTCTCCAGACACACGGTGAGATCCGAGTTGCTTACGGCGAGGATGCGCTCACTGTGTCGCAGGTCCGGCGGTGGTTCCAACGCTTCCGAAACGGCGACTTCGATCTTTCCGATCGACGGCGTTCTGGGCGTCCGAAGACAGCGAGAACGAGCGGTAACATTCAACGCGTTCGGAAATTGATAACAGCGGACCGTCGACTAACGGTTCGCGAGGTCGCCGACGAGATTTCGACCTCTGCCGAATTTCTGCCATCGGGAGCGACGGTGAACAAGTCTGTTTACCTGGGCGTGCTCCGCCGTCTCAGAGAAAAGGTTCGCTTGAACAGAGTGAGGGTGGGCAAAACGCAGAATTGGGGAGGCAACGGCTGGATTCTCCACCACGACAATGCCCCCGCACATTCAGCAAACGTCGTGAAGCAGTGGTTGGCGAAGATGGGTACCGAGGTGTTGCGCCAGGCGTCCAACTCTCCTGATCTGGCTCCTGCGGATTTCTGGTTGTTCACCCTCCTCAAGAGACATTTGAAAGGCAAGCGATTCGACAGCGTGGAGGAAATCAAGCGCAACGTCGAACAGGTGCTGAAGTCGATTCCGGTCAGCGCGTTCCGGAAGGCGATAGTTGAGTCCTGGCCGACTAGATGGTCAAAGTGTGTGGCCGCCGACGGCGAGTACTTTGAGGGCGATTGAGACGGCTTTCACATGTCCGATTTTTTTTTTAAGAAAATAAAAAGAATTTCTTGGAAATCGGGAAATGTGATTTACATGCCTCTGTGTAACAATTTCTTTCCGGTGATTCGGGAGGGTTTGGAACACATTCCGCATATCGTTGTGTTCCTATTTGACGGGGCTTTCAGAATTTGTAGGAATTTTTCGTGTGCGCGCAATATGCAAATTTTTATTGCGGAACAC